TGGCTGCGTGCAATACTCGGCTCGTCTTTAACACAGTGTAACGAGTTGAACTCCTTCCTCCTTCCTGCAACTAGCTTGGTTCAACCTCGTCTTCTTCGTGCTGAATGCCACGAGTCACTGTCCTCTCTGCCTTTGCATGACACTGGAGCTCTGGTCTAAGTGGCGGCTCAACCCAACAGCGAAAACTCTCGACTTCGTCACCTCCTTCCTCCCCTCAGCTCTACAAGGACGTCATCGTCCTTCAACGTCCTTGCCTTCGGCTTCGAGGAAGCGCTAACTTGCGCCATTCAACTCTTAGGTAAGCCGTGTTGTCTCTTTTCTCGACCCGTATGCGACAATTTATAGGTGAATTCACCTCTTCAGCTTCCCGACCTCCCCTCATTTCCTCTCCATTTTGCTCAACTCTTCGTTTTCTCTCCTCCGACAATAAAAACGAGACATTACAATCTTTTCCACTTACAAAAATTATCCTCGAAATTTACAAAATGGATCGTAAGTCATCAATCAAGCATGTTGACCTGAACTACCCATAAATTTTCTATCGAACTCCCTTCTTTTAATTTCGGGTGTAGCCATATGTATGAATGGATACTGCAACAACAACAACAACAACAAGCCTCTATCCCACTAAGTGGGGTTGGCCACAAGAATCCCTTTTTTTTCCATTGCGTCCTATTGAGTGTCATATTTTCATTTAATTCTAACAGATTAAGATAATTTTTTTATACAATATATCCAAGCCTTTTTAGGTCTATCTCTGCCTTTCTTAACATAAGTTAGATCTAAAACATCTACTCTCATAACAAGATCATCAGTTGGTCGACGTTTAATGTGACCAAATCATCTAAGATAATTCTCTCTAATCTTGTGTGCCACTGAAGCTACACCAACCTTATCACAGATATATTCATTTCACATTATGTTTGAATGGATATACTTTTTAATTTCAGTTAACTTAAATTTTTTATTTTTATTAATATTAAGATTTTATTATAATTACCATATTGGCTCTTTCATCCATATTAAATTAATTAATCATAAAACTTGACTCTGATATCACTTTTGTCAGGACCTGACATGTGGTTTGGAATTTACTAAGGTGAGAACAGACGGTCGGATGGCGGGAACTAAGTTTTCTATATTCATTTACCAATTAACAAATGAAGTATCCACAAATCAAATCAAATTAAACCATTATTATTAAATTTACTTTGATACTGGTTAATCACATTTTCTACAAATATTTTCTTTTCTATTGTTCATATTTTAATTAATTAAATTAACCTGAAAAGTTATATTAAAATAACAGTGACCTAAACATATCACTGAATACTCATACTCCTTAACTATATTAATACAAAGGAAAAAAAAAAAGGTAATATGCATGTGAATTAAACTTTTAATAAATCAATATTAACATTTGATGTTATTCAATGAATCTTATGATATGAATAACATATCTATATCATTCTATATTTGTACAATCATCACATAAGCTCCGTCTAAAATTTATATTACTTAAGGTACTTCAATATCAATATCTTTTTTCATACATGCACGAATACCTTAGCATTTTTCCACTAGTACTACAAAAAGATGACTCTATCATAGTCGATCAAGCATATACAAACAGTCAATATATATATATTATTCATACGTTCATCACATTCAATTCAATTTACTATATATATAACAATAACCATTGTATGATAGTGAGTAGCTACAAACATATATCGTTCATAACAATATGACCAATAAAGAAAAAAAATATCTCAATCAAAATAAAACTTGTGCAAGTATCATTAACTGTAAAATGACTGAGAGGAAACAAAATATTACAATATATTAAAAGTACGAATGCTCACCTCGATGTTAGACGATCTGTTTGCTCATAACAAATATTATTCTATCAAATTAGCACTTATAAAATATAAAATATTCCTTTATCACTTTACTTAATTGTGTTTTAATTTAATTATGAATCATTATTGCATCGAACTATTTTAATTAGAATTTCAATGCTTTAAACTTTAAGTTTAAATATTATAATCGAAATTAATATTAAATATTATTGATTTACACAAAAAATATTTTTAGAATTAAAACCCTAATTTTTCTTTAGTGCTTGAATTAAATGCACTGAAGTTTACCGTCTAAATTATAAACTTATAATACATACATACATACATACATACATACATACATACATACATACATACATACATACATACATACATACATACATACATACATACATACATACATACATACATACATACATACATACATATATACATACATGCACATGCATGCATGCTCCCTTCTTCTCTCGTGGCTGCGTGCGATACTCAGCTCATCTTCAACATAGAGCAACGAGTTGGACTCTTTTTTCTTCCCCGCAATCGGCTTGGTTCAACCTCGTCTTCTTCCTTCACTCTTAATGCCACAAGTCACTCACCGTCTTCTCTACCTTCGCATGACACTGGAGCTCTGGTCGAAGTCGCAGCTTAACCCATCAGCGAAAACTCTAGACGCCACCGCCTCTTTCATCCCTTTAGTTCGATAGAGACATTGTCGTTCGTCGATGTCCTTGCCTCCAGCTATGGGGAAGCCTGCCATTCGACTCTCAGGTAAGCCGCGTGGTCTCTTCTTTCAACCCGACTGTGAAGTGTTATCGGCGAATTTACCTCTTCTACTTCTTGACCTCTCCTCGTTTCCTCTATCCCCTGCTCAATTCTTTGTTTCCTTTCTCACTCTTTGGTTGTTTGATTAATCTCTTCCGGCAACAGAAACGAGGCATTACACAAACTAAACATTTTAATGAGCTGAACTCAATAATACTAAAACTTATCCAATTTGAGTCCAAGCAAACTTAAAATGTGGTTGAAAACTTTGGGTTATTAATTTAATGTTTAAATGTTATCCAAAATTTATATGCTTATGGTCAAATTGAGTGTGTTAACGAGATAAATCCAACAAGTTTAAAATCACTCAATTGCTAGGCCATTAAGATATTTAAATGTTGATTGAATGGCTTACAATCAAAAGATTTACACAGATCATTTTATGGAATGTTTTGAAGCTTTGGCCAAACTAATCAAAATGTCACTTTGAAAATCCGTAAATGGACTCACATGCTCCACATGAGTAGGAATTGGACTTGAGTTTCGAGAGATTTTGAAAACTTAAAGAAATTTAAAGCTCTATTTGACATTTGATACTGAGGGTCACCAGTGGCCACTACATCATTTGATTGCTGAAAATCACCAGAAGCCACTATCGTTGTCCAACTTTCGATGCCCAACTATCACTTTTTGACCACCACCACCCAATAGTTATAGTCTTTTTGTTGTCATTTGACCTCTATTGTTGGATTGATGTCGTCCAACTATAATCTCCTAAGCATGGAAGTCTGATCTTAATCTTTCGTCCATCATTATTCGACTACCACTGCTCAACTGTTATTGTTTAATAGTCGGCGGCGTCCGATTAACGTCATCTAAATGCTATTATCTCTTCAAGACATCTAGCTCTGTGGAAATTACATGAGACCCTATAAGTGCTCTCATTTTTGCAATCTTATCATCTTCATTTATAGAGAAGAGTTGACTTTTATAACCTCATATATATAGTAGATTATTTTCAGCAGGCTTGGTCCCATGGCATTATTCTTTTCTGGATTTACCACATAAAAATTTGTCTTTTTTTATTCTCATTTTATTTATTTGTTTGTGTGGGAATCTGCGTGTAAAGCTAGGTTGTAAACCACTCTCTACCGTCACAAATTTTGTTAGCATGCACCAAGGCTATATTAAGGATAAATTATTTATATTTTGCTTTATAATTTAATGATTATCTAGGATTTTATTTAAAAATATGGTTCTCTTTAATTCTTGGAGATGATTTAAGTTTGCATAAAGTTTAAATCTGATTTAAATTGCCTTTAAATAGTCCCACTATAACAATCAAGGGCGTGGAAATCTCTCTCATTTCCTCACTTTCCTCTCCTAGTTGGTTCTATTCACAAACCCAAACAGATGGCCACCATCTTGACACCTCCTGCAAGATCCAGGACAGCTTCCCAGTAGTCTGTCCTGTGCACAGTGCTGCTTGTTCTCGCTGTTGGTCTGAATCTGTGATGTCAAATTGCTGTCCAGAGTTTAGCGGAGGAGTCGAACGAGAAAAAAAATATGCTCTTTTTGCATTTTTCAGCGAACCTGAAGCTAAGAAAGTATCAATTAGCTGCTGCCAGAGAAGAGGAACTCAGAATCAGAGTGACAAGTTCCTATTTTACACCAATTCAGTGAGCAAATCCATAAAAGGCTTGCGTCTATATATTAAAAAAGAGTCAAAAACAATGAGAGAAAATTTCTAAAGTGTGAAATAATGCTCAAGGGACTTCTAGTTGATTGATAAATTTTTAGAAAACCTAGAAAATTCTTAAAATCTTAATGCATAGATTCAAATCTTTTATTGTGGACTTGTGCTATGATATTAAGAGCCTAGCATCATATCATTCTAATCAACGCTGCTCATCCCTCCCAGGCAACACTCTCTTTTGCCAGGTTGACCTCCCCCCTGCCTTTTCTCTCTCCCTATGTTGGTCCACTGTCCTCCTTGCTCTTGTGCTGTTTCCCTCCCCCGTCTCCCTTTTGAGGATCTTAAAGAGGTGAAGGTTTCACTTGAGATGGTGGGGACAAGTCCAAGTCCCCTGAACGTTTTCTGTCAAGATACTACATGCACCTCTAGCATGTTATATACTGCATACCTTGAATGTCTTCCACAATATTGTTGTCACTCTCATAATTTCTTGGAGCTTCATTGAATATATGCTTTTACTTCATTTTTTTGTTACATGTGAGGTGCTGATTTAATATGCTGTAGTTGTAAAGGAAAAACATTGTCAATTTTAAATTGCTTAGAACACTATTGGTTATTGCTTTTATGATTAAATTATGACACTTCTTTGCTAGTAGTAATTCGTTTAGTTCTGTCATCAGGCATCGAGACTTGGCCTGGAAAGCAGATCCATAGCCACAACTATCGCATGCCCCAACCTTTTACTGGTCAGGTATTTGTTCTCTCATTGTATACCTCTCATTTCTTTTCTTTCTTGGTATTACATGCTTATCAGGTGCCATTTTTGTTGGATCATTAACTTTCCTTTCACTTCTTTTTTTCATCTAAACAATTTTTCGGCTTCTCCTTCTCAGTTATTGTATACAATCTCATTTATACTAATTTTAAAACGGGTAGGTTGTAGTTATAATCGGTAGCGCAACTAGTTCTGCTGACATCTCAAGGGAACTTGCTGGTTTTGCTAAAGAAGTTCATGTTGCAAGTAGAACATCACGCGTCAAAATCCCCATGAAGCAACCTGGTTATGACAACTTATGGCTTCACTCTATGGTAATAGCTTTGTTCCCTGTTGATTGAGACCCTGTTATTTTGAGCAGTTGTATTTTTGTGATGAAACTTGATGAAAATTTTAACTACTGTTTTGATGCAGATTGATAAAACTTTCAGCGATGGCACTGTAGCTTTCCAAGATGGGTGTTCTGTTCAAGTTGATGTTATCATGCATTGTACTGGGTAGGTGTATGCAATTTGAATTTGTAAGGTTCAGCATGTCTAGAATTTTGGATGATATTTGATGATAGATTCTAATCACTTAACATAATTTTTTGTATTGCTCTTGTATGTGATTGTGACATAGACCATACTTCTCTTTATCTATTAATTTCCATTATCATGCCTTTTTTTTTCCTAAATTGATTTCTATGATGATCTTGAATTTCTCAATTAATTGGTGACAAGAAATGGAGAAAATTGATTGAATTTCATTTAAACGTTGATCCATTATTTATACAATCCATGGAGAGCCATTAATAGAAAATTTACAAAAGCAGAGACTGTTAATTTGCTATACAATTATGTACATAAATTAAACTACCAGGATTCGTGATGTGGCATCCACTGGCAAATGGATGAATGAGCTGGTTATGGACTTAAGAAGGGAAAAGAAGTGCTGGTAGGCTGCCACCTTGCCTAATAACAGCTGTTGTGGGTCTCATGGGGTGGATGCCTTGGCGTGATATAAGGGTGCATTAGACATCGTGGAGGGCCAGCTGTAAGGCAAATTGATGAAAACTTGAATTTGGATCACTTACGGGATTGAACTTGCTATAAGGATGCTCCTTTGTTTATTAGAAGTCATAGAATTGGAAGCGGCAGTCTGTGGGTTGGTCTATGAGAGGTTAAGAGTTCCTCTAAGGTTACACATCTATGATCCAGAGCATAATAAGAGATAGGTGTGATTAAGGTTTTCAAATGGAGAGGCAAATATTTGTAAAAACAATTGGAAGACCTTACGGAATGTTTATAGATATGGTCCAGCGTTTGTAAGATTTTGATGAAACTTAAGGCGAAGAATTGCATGCAGGCAAAGATTAGGCCACTCTTGCCCTAGTTTGGACGAATTGAGTTCGAAGTGGCTTTTCTTGAATTTTTCTTTCTTTCATGGATTGTTGGATTAAGTCATAAAAGCATATGAGATGTAAGAGGTTTAGAATGTTTTAATCCATTTACTGCAGAAAGAAAATTGCTTGAAAAAATATCTCATTCAAGGAATGTCTCCGAGCAACTAAGCCAAAGAGGGAGGTGTTTCCCCAAAACACTGCAAAATTGGATTTCAATGAAAATAAAAATTCTTATTATAGCAATTGCAACATTTTAAAGCATTTTCCTTGGAACTTTACATTTGAAAATTTAAAATTTCCTGAACGGAGTGAATTTATTTCATGCTCCAAGGGTATTTGGGGTGGCTACATGGCAAGGCCTGAACCATGTGAGGTAGCTGATTTAATGGGAAAATAAACTTGTTGACTTCTCTTTGGCCGCTCCTTGACCTCCTTGGACCAATTAAATTAAGTATCGGAGCACATTTGTGTCGTTGGCACTCAAACTTCTATGACATAGATAGCCACATTCACCTAACTTGCTTTTTTATTTTGTCTTATTTTCAGCTTGACTTCTTGCTTGATGTATTATCGTTGTGACCTTTTGATTCATGGTTTCCCATATCCTTGTGCAACTACTAACATATACAATAATATAAACTCAACAAAAACTCGACACAACACTTTATCTAGTATATTATCTTTTTATAACACACACGCGCACAAAAAAATCACGTAAAAGAAATGACTGTAATATTATTTGATTGCAATAGACCTTCCCTGAAGTCTGCGTACTATCTTTTAGATTTAGAGTAAACATGCCAAGTTCCTCTCACGTAAGTCATGTATCCTTAGATGGTGGTCTCTCTTACCGCCTAATTAGAAACTCATTCTCTTCTTTTCTATTGTGTGATGCCTCATCTTAAATTCTACTCTCTTTTTAAAAAATATTTGGTTTTTTATTGATCTGCATTTTGCACCTATAGAAGAGTTTTTTTCTAAATTCCCATGTGAGAAATTTTCTTCTAAGAATGAAATGTCTTCAGCATTAAATATAGAAGTTATGTCATATGGCAATTATATGAAGTATGCATTTGGTTTGATTTTTATATGGATTTTGAAGGAGCCACAAGCCCTTGTATAGAGCTTCTTCTTTTTTGATGTATTTTGTTAAGGTCTTATTTTTATTATCACATATTCACTCATTATATTCCCTTGCATTTCTAGATTTACTTATAACTTCAGCATCTTTAACGTTATTTTATTTCATTTGTTTTCTTACATTTTCATGGAAAGCTGCAAAATTATTAACAAATGTAAATGCAATGTCTAAAAATCCATCAGATGGGACATCAATAATGTTAATGGTTAATTTGAGATTGTTTAATTATTTTAAATAAAGTTCCCTTGTTACTTTCAGAAATAGTATTACTTTAGTCAAATTTAGATGTGGCTAAGTGTAAGTCCCAATTGCCTAGCAACTTCCCCACTAAGCACGTAATGGGCCCCCTAAAGTTCTATTTACTATATTTGCCTATCTATCTGTGTGTGAAAAACTGAAGAGAATTCAAATATAATACCTATTAGTTTTCATTGAATTTTTCAAAAATAAGAAATAAAATTAGCAGTAGGGTAGTTCAGTCCAATTCAACCGAATTTGGTGCCCTTTTTTTTCTGTATGAGTAGGCTGTATGTCAAAGTGGGCTTGTAAGAAGTGGTGGAGAGATTTTTTCTGGTGGCTATATATCAGAAGTGGCGTGCGGACTTCTTTAATTCACTTCCTAACCCTATACTATCACCCTTAAGTATTCCAAATTCAACAAGTAGCTCATACCTTTTTTATTAAGTTATATTTTTAAGTTCATGCAAAGTGATTTTTTTTTCTGGTCGTATCCGAATTTGATCTAGATCAAGTAACAGAACAACATGACCATTTTCCAAACTCGGCTGATTCTTCTTAGGCAGGAAATCTTTATTTTAAGTAAATTAAATCTATCATGCTTTTCTTTTACTATAGTCAATCAATCATCATAAAATAACTTTTGTACCTGATTGAGGTCTGAATCCACATGTTTTTGGGCCATCGGAAATAAATTACTTCTCTTTTTCTTGATCACTAACCCGAGGAATTAGTACTAGAATTTAATTAGAAAATCCTTGGAAATTTTTTTTCTTTTTCTTAGCATCACTCTTGTCATCTGATTTTTTCTTCTTATTTGCATTCTTGATGCTGGGGCAGTCCCACTTGATATGACATGACTTCTTTTACTTTAAAATATTAAAAAGTCTGCTTTGGCTTTATTTAATATTTTACCTTTATTTCTATTCTTTCTTTTATCAGATAACTTCTTTTTGGCTTTTTAGAAAGCTGTTAAACCTTCAGGCAATCAATGCCACATAGTCTCCACTTAATGTTTCATTTTAACTCTTGGCAGATTCTTGAGGTTTTAGTATAATTTGTTTTTCCTTCTTCTTCATCTTATTTTCAAATATTTACCGTATCTATTATCATGAAAAATTAGCGAACCAAGTAATTAACCTATAAAATAAGTAGATAATCTTTAGACTCATATATAGCTGTAACTATGACATCTCAGGTGTTTGGCAAACATGTAAGAATTTTTTTCGACTTTCTTATCATTGGGTTATTTCTTTCTTAAAGAATGTATGGTAAAGATTATTTTGTTGAATTTAGTTTACATCTCTGATGTGATTTCATTAGGTTTCATGTAAAATAACTGTCATGAAGAAGTAGATTGATTTGTGATTATTTGACTTCATTAATACCCTCAAATGCAACACACAATGTTTGCCCTATTTCTTTCTAATTTAAATTGTAGAGATGTTTATGTAATCATTAGACTTGAATTCACAAAAGAAACATTTTAAGCACTTTGAATTTAACTATGCTAACTCACATATTTATTGTTCCCAATATTTGGAAGGTACATCAATGAACATGTCATTCGTATTTTTGGTCGGATGTGGATAACTACTTATACCAAATTTCACGTGTGGTGATCAATTGATTGAATAAAATTAAGTGGGCATTGTAACTTTTCAAACATGAAAAGAATATCATCAAACAAACGAAAACGGGTGATAGAATACCTTTGGTTATCAACCTTCTTATCCGAGTATGTTATAAGAACTTCTTTGGGTTGTTAGGCCTTTAAACGAAGAAACTTTTTGATATTAATTGAATGTTAAGGCAAAATAAAAAAAGGGATGTGAATAAATCTTTAAAGCTAACTAGATTCTTTCAAAGTTGTATGAAAACAATATATTTTCTTGTTAAAAAATAACGTGAGAATAAAGCTAACAAATTATTTTGGTATAAAATCCACATTGACATGGTTAGAACTGGTGATATTTTCTGTGTGATACGAAAAGTAGGGTGGTATAAGTGACATGTATGTAAACATAAGAAATATGTGAATGGTATGGAAATGATCCTTATTTTTACATATTTTTATAAAAAGATTTTTTCTGAACAGAATATAAAATAAAAAATATTTTTAATTTTTTGTTTTTAAAAGTAGAAAAATCATTAGCACCAAATATGGTTTTTAAAAAGATAAAATGAAAATAAAAACAAAACAAATTAATATATATATATATATATATATACATATATATATATATATTTATCATTTTCTTATATTCTTTTTGTTTGTAAATGACATGTTAAGGGAGTTAAATTTAAGCTTTATCCTCAGGTACAAGTATCGTTTTCCTTTCCTCAGAAGTGATGATATCATTGATGTGGATGACAATCGAGTTGTACCACTTTATAAGCACGTCTTTCCACCATTCGCCGCTCCGTATATTTCTTTCATTGGATTACCTTGGAAGGTTCCGGTCTTATGATTTCTGTTACTTGGATCATTTTGTAATTAATTTTTGTTTTGTTTATATATGAAACTTAATAAAAAATGTTGCAGGTCGTTCCTTTCCCCTTGTGTGAACTTCAAAGTAGGTGGGTAGCTGGTGTTCTGTCTGGTCGGATTGCTCTCCCAGCACCTGAGGAGATGATGGGCGATGTTAAAGCTTTCTATTCAGATATGGAGCAAGCTAAGCGACCTAAAAGATACACCCATAACATTGCAGATTACCAGGTATTTTGCCTTGGTTTTATCAAATAGGAACCTTTTAGTTTATTGAAGTGTCCAATTCTTAGGGGATGTTTGGCTGCACTTAGTATTTAAGTTAAGTAGGATTTATTAAATCCGATAAATTTGGATTTATTAAATCCAGTGATGCTCAATCCAAAATTATGTTTGCTATGATTTCATTTAAATCCTTATAAATCCATATGGAATGTTTGACATTTACTTTAGGATTTAATACTTTAGTATGTGATCCCCTTAAATCCATCTCCCAATCGGATTTCATAATTCCCGGATTTACATTAAGCTAGAGCAATTTTTAGATTATGGCCAATGGAGGGATTTGGAGGAGCTGAAATCACATTTGGTGTATTTACATTAAATCCAACTTAAATTCATCTTAAAGTAGCCTACCAAACACTGCCTTAGTAAAATGTTTTGTTATTCCTCTCTTCATAAAGTATGAACATTAACTCCATATATTTTTGCATATAATATGGAGATGCTCTTAAGATTTTCAAAGTGAGGTATATAGGCTAAGAGTTTAGCTTGAAATTAAGGACGTAGTAGAAAAACTAAACTCATGGAGAAAACATTACTTCCTTTCATTATTTACATGCAGCGGTACATATATATGGAAATAACTCTTCCTAATTTATAAACTTACCAAATATATATAATCTAAATTTGGAAAGGAAATAATTCTGAAATTAAAACAACGAAACATAAATAGAAAGAAAGTAAGCTAATCAAGGGGTTTCCATAATTGTCTCCAATTAAATTTCTCAAGATATAACTTTTCAATTATAAATTTTCACACTCCCCCTCAAGCTAGGTCATATATGTTGTAAAGGCTAAGCTTGGTATTCAACACAGTGAAGCTACCCAGGATTAGAGCTTTAGTGAAGGCATTCACAACTTGGAGATAAGTTGGAATGAAGATCAAGCGAATAATGTCATCATTGACCTTTTTAGAGATATAATGACTATCAATCTCGCTGTGTTTGGTCTTTTCATGATGCATAGGTTTCTTTGCAAAACTAATGACGGCTTGATTTTCATTGAACATCTTTATGACATTGACTGTGGAGTATCCCAACTCATTTAGTAATCTTTGGATCCAATTCCTACACAACTTCCCAAAACAAGTGCTCGATACTCAAATTCCACACTACTAGAGACCACCGCTTGCTTCTTGCTCTTTAATGTGACAAAAGTTTCTCATACATTGGAACAATATGTAGATGTGGATCTTATATTAGTGAGTTTTCCAACCCAACTAACATCAGTTTAAATATCATCCTCTCTATTGTCCGATTTCTTAAACAATAACACTCACAACGGTCATTTTAAGAAATATCAATATTTTTTAAACAATCTCCAATTTTTTTCATTTAAACTATTCATATGTTGAATCACAATGCTGACATTGTAAGAAATATCAGGTTTGATGTGTGATAGGTAGATAAGCTTTCCTACTAATCACTGATATCAACATTTTTTCACTGGTATCTTTTCTCTCTCTGAATATAACTATTTATTGAATTTTATAGGAGTCTCAATATGTTTACACCCCTGCATCGTTGTTTCTTTTAATAGGTCTTGGATTTATTTTATTTGAGATGTCACAATTCCTGTCTTCGATCTGATCACTTCCATGTGCAGAAAGTATCTCATAGCTCCTAGATCTTTGATTTCAAATTTTGTGACATGAATCTCCTTAATATTCCCAGTCTCTTTTTCATTATCACCTAGCAGGATCATATCATCTACATAGATATTGAGTATAGCTTTCTTAACTCCTATGTCTGCTTTATGAATAGTGTATGATGAATTTGGTTTTGGATGGACCAATTAGATTTCAGTCTTGAAAATAATGTCAAACCAAGCTCTTAGAGATTGTTTGAGGCTATATTGTGACTTGCTTAGTTTACAAACCAAATATTATTTAAGTTATTTGCTAGCTCTGGTGAAATCTCCATATACACTTCTACCTCAAGGTCTCCATTTAAAAAAATATTTTTCATATCAAGTTGATGCAGCTCTCACTCTTTGTTTCTTGTCAATGAAAGAACCCTTACAATATTTGCCACTGGTGTAAAGGTCTTTTGCTACTCTATCCCATAGTAATGAGAGAAATTTTTTAGCCACCAACCTTGTCTTAAACCTCTCAATGCTCCCATCTTCTTTATACTTGACATTGAACACCCATTTGCGGCACCCAATTGGTCTTTTGTTCGGAGAAAGTTTTGTAAATGTCAATGTGCTATTTTGATCAAGTGCTTGAATCTCTTCTTTAACTATCTTTTTCTATTCTTAAATTTGAAGCGCTTCATGAATATATTTGGGTATCTGCACACTGTCAAGTTGTGATACAAAATTTGTATTTGTTGATAATAACTTCTCTTAGGCGACATACTCTTGGATAGAATAATTTGTGTAACTTTTCCTGTCTTCTCCACCGGATTCTACCTCCCTTGGAACTTCAGAGATGTGATGATTCAAGTTTGGTTGTGAAAAGTCAGTGGTTGCACATTGTCCCTATCATGCTCAGTTGATTTCTTTCTCTTAGCGTACACACGAGTTTACTTCTTTTCAATCTCGGGTTTGATATGCTCAGTTGGTGGAACTTGGGACACAAGATGGTTAGAGGAAAGTAGAATAAGTTGTGAATACTCTAGATCAGTGTCGGTATTCAGATTAGTTTGACGAAGTGGAAAAAAGTTGTGATGACTCTAGATCACTATGAGTATCCAAAATAATGTCCCAAGAATGATATGTACCTGAAGTCTCTCTCTGAATATTAGATTTACGGTGGTATGGTTGATTTTCAAAGAAGGTAACATCCATGGAGTTATAATATATTTTCGTGTTGGGAGAATGTCACTTGTTCCCTTTTTTGTTAGAGGTATAACCACGAATTATATGTTTGATGGACTTTAGGTTAAGCTTTGTGCAGTATGGTTGATGAATGTGGACAAAAGAGACGAGTAAATATTTTTAGAGAAAGATTGGATAGGAAAACTCTAACAAAAGGGCATTTTTCAAACAAAGCACAGAGAGGAGCTTTGAATCCAAGAACTTTGCTTGGCTTTCTATTGACGAGGTAGGTGTTTATGAGCACATCTCCCCAAAAAAATTTTGGGACATTGTGTGAAAGCATTATCAATCAAGATACATCAAGGAGATGTCTTATGCTTCCTCTCAGCTATCACATTTTGTTACAAGTATCACATAAGAAATCACATGGATGATACCATTCTTTATAAGGGATGGACCAGGGATAGATTTGAAGTATTCCTTTGCATTACCAGTTTTGAGAATTTGAATTTGCATTATAATTGAGTGTAAATAATGTCATGAAATGATTGAAGGATCTGTGCAGTTTCAGATTTCTCCTTCATAAGGAATATCCAATTGATTCTAGTTTGATCATCAATAAAGGATACAAATTATTTGTCCATTAATGGTTTTGAATCTTGAAGGTCCCCGAATATCACTATAAATGATAGAAAAATGATATAGAGGTTTGTAGTGAGACAGATGGTATACATAACGAGTATGTTTAGCCAATTGGTAGGTTTTATACTTATAGAACTGTCTTTTGTTGACTAAAGAGATGGAGGTATAACTTTGTAATATAATGAAAATTGGGATGAGCCAGATGATAATATCATAATGGAACTTGACTTTCAACAAATTCATACAGAACATGCTCAGGATCATGAGAAGAGGTTGAGAAGACAGGTGAGGCACTTATGTATTAAGAGAATAATTATCCTTAATCAAATATAGACCTCTATGCAATTCAACATTGTCAATCACCTTTCCGGAATCCACTACCTGAAATTCATCAAAGTAAACTGGAATTTAGTAACATTATTCAAGTCATGTGTAAGTTTGCTAATTGAAATTAAGTTGTAATCTTGTTTGGGAACATATGACACTGAAGAAAGCTGAATATCTTTGGAGATTTTCACATCTTCGTTCCCAACAATCCTGGAGAGATCCATCGGCAAGTCTAACAAATTTGGGGTTGGTGATTTCTTGGTAGTTAGTGAGAGCATGAATGCACCTAGAAATGTGATAACAAGCATCTGAATCTATTATCCATGGTTGAAATCCTCCATTGTTAGCAAAATATGGGGATATCGTACCTTGGAGTAACTTCAAGCTGGTAGGCTCCAGAGTAGAACTAGACGTCTTCATTCTATACTTGGTCATGATACCGTGCATGTTTAGGGTTGTTGCTGCTACAAGAAGAGTAGGAATAGAGGAATGCATAGGAGGGCTGGCTGCTGCTGCTGAGAACTACAAGAGATTGGCTTACAAATTGTCGATCTAGTTTAACTTCCCTTCCTATCACATTTATGCCCAAGGACATCAGAGGCACACCCCCAGTTCCGCAAATGTCACTGGATGCAAATTTTGATTTAGACTCGTCTGCTGCATCAACAATTGCAGGAGATTTACTGCTGCAGGGATTTGCTTAATTGATTGGCTGCTGCAGCAGAAGATTTGTTTTTGTTGTAGAGAACTGCAGGAGGTTTTCGGCGGAGGAGGGCGGAGGAGGGCCTGCGGAAGGGAGGATTTTGGCTGCAGGGAGGAGTTCCAAAGAGTGCCTGTAACCTGCAGGAAGAGTGCTGGCTGCAGGGAACGATGTGATTTGCGAAGGCATGCAGGGGCTCCGGGGGCAGATGAAGTGCCTGCAACCAAATATGGAGAGAACCGACTGCAAGGAAGTTTTCCACCATGCCAAGAAGAAGCAGGTTTTCTAGACTTCTTTATTCTTTATCAGCTGGTGATTTCCAACGGAGCAGATTTTGGGTAGAGGAGAAGAAGATTTTCAGCTGTAGGAGAAGTTAGGGTTTGTTTTCAATGCTCTGATATCATCTAGATAAACTGAACCCTTGAAAAAACTACTCCCTTTAATCATTCACATGTAGGGTTCATAAATAGGGAATCCCCCTTCCTTATTTAGAAACTAACCAAATATATCTAATTTAAAT